AGAGAAATATACCCAGCAATAGCGTGCTTTTGAGCTAAAGATGATGTAAGAATCTTAAACAAAAAGGCTAAAGTGTATCAGGAGTATTAGAGCAAATGTCAGAATTCTTCGAAAAGAAAAATACAAAACCAGGAGGTCAGGGCTTCTGTGTTGGTGTGGAAAGTAAAAACAATAGAAAAAGGTGTCAAAAAGCAAGAGATGAGGATTACAGACACAAGTGTCAGTGAAAAAGTAGTAGTTACAGCAAGTTCAGAAGATGTTAGAAATGAATGTCGTAGGGTGTCAGTAGCTTTGTCTTCTTAAAGGAGCATTTCAAAAAGAGAAAACAAAGGAAAGAAAGGGAGTTTTTTTTCTTTTTAAATTAGAGGCAAAGATTATCAGAAATGTAAAAGGCTACACGTACCCTGCCCTTCCATCATGTCCTCCCCCCCTCCCCCCACAGAAGCCCCAGAGTTCATGCAGCTCTTTGCTTTTGCTTTGGGTTGAATCCAAACTAGCCCTCTCATAGTCTTAAATAAAGATTACATAGTTTTACTTTTGTGTAAATGTATTTGAAGTACATCAGTTACTAATTTATATTTCAAGTCAAATTTTATATCTAGTGATAGGACTTTAAAATTATTATGTATGCACTAAATGCCATGTGCTATGCTAATGACTAGAGATACTGAAATACTTTTCTTGCTTGCCTCTGCAAAGTTTGGGATCTAGCAACTAAAACATTCACACAGATACAACAGATGCTGTAATGGAGGGCAAAGCGACTCTTGGAGGATGAAGAAGGGACACCTGTAACACACTAAGCGTAAGAGAGAGATCAGGGCAGAATGTCAGGGAGCATCACCTGGAGTATACCTTTGAGAGAGGAGTTGGAGTAGCCAGCCAAAGAGCAGGAAATATTTATTACAAAGACAAAGGGATATGATTTTCTTTTTTTCAGAGTGTCTTGAGTATGAGGGAGTGGTAGATAAAGTTGGAGGGGAAAATGCAGGTTAGATATGAAGACCTTTTTATCCTGAAGACTCAAGAGCTGTAGAATGACAGTGATCCAGAAGTGATGTCGTTAGCTTTGTATTTTAGAGAGATCATTCTGGCAGTAGTGAGGAGTAGAGAACTGGGAAAGGAATTGTATTAGGAGGGGTTTTATTTACCTTAAGGAACAATATAAAGATCTGAAATGAGGCAGTGTTGGAAAGAAGGGGGAGACAGGGTGAATATATCAAGCAACTGGAATCAACAGAATTTTGTGACTGAATTCACATAGCAGCAACTGGGGGGAAGACCAAATCTGTACTTAATTAATTCTCTATTTCCGGTGGGCTAAGTGGAGAATTGTGCCAGGAGCAGTTTGGTGTGGGCAGTGAGAAAGGTTCCAGATGCTTGTTGCACATTACGGTGAAGGTGTCTAAAGGTGAATATTCATTAGTATTATGGATTGTTACTTAGTTACTAATATTACATTTATTGAGTGCTGAACTAGGCACTGCAGTTATCCTTATTTTTACCAGTAATGAAACTGAGGCACGAGCAAGGTAGATAACTTGTGTAAAGTTAGAAAGGAAGTATGTGGCAGAGCTAACATTTGAGTTTGGAAAGTCTGATTGCAGTTCCCACTTTTAACTGCTCTGTGCTCTTGCTTTTCAGTCACATGAGGATCTGATTTGTAAGAGGAAGTTATAGCCTAGAGATAGGGGTTTGGGAGTTTCCAATTTATATAAGAGAGATGAAACCACTGGTCTGAATAACATGACCCTGGAGAGGCCATGGAGTTTGTAGAAAGAGGAAGTGAACTTGTGAAAGAGACCAAGTGACCAGAAAGATGGGAAAATCCAGAAAGAATTGTGCTATAAAAGCCAAATTGGATAGTATTTTTTTTTCTCTTTTTAAGAAATAAAATAATCAGTAGTTCTAAAATCTTCAAAAATACAGCCAGAGATATCCACTAGAAGTCACTGGTGATAGCGATGATAGTTTTGGTTCAGTT